TTTAACTGCAGCGGATCATTCCGGTATTTCAACCGGCACGAATGCCTCTGGCGGTCCAACAGCCCCGAATACCTCCAGCACTTCAATAGGCTTGGACCCGTTCCGCCCTACAACAGGCAAAAATAGTCCCGGAACCTCACCGAGCGCCAATCCCGCCGCCGCTCCAACAGGCGGGAATCACTCCGGCGCTTCAACTGGTGCGGATCACTCCGGTGGCACGAATCGCTCGCGCACCCCAACGGGCTCGAATTCCCCCGGCCCATCAACGAGCGCGAATGAATCCAGCACTATAACAGATGCGATTCCCTCCAGCACTGCCGCATCGTGCGCAAATCGAACCGGCACAAATTCGTGTAGCACATTCACAGGCGTGAATCTCTCTCGCACGTCAACTTCACGATTCTGTGACTTAGCTTCGATCTCGGGAGCGTACCAAAGTTGTGGAGTGAAGCTCGGCATCACTGGGACCTCTGCTGCTCCGTCCGTCACCTCAATAAGCGCGAATGCCTCCGGCACCTCGACGGGCACGAATCACTCCGCCGCCTCAACGGGTGGTGCTCTCGGCGGCGCCTTCGGGATTGTAGCTCTTCTTATTGCGATAATTTACAAATACTTTAAAGTTTTGCAACTTCTTATTTCCGTAGCTCACTTGCTGACGTTGTCCCAGGCCCCCAGCCCCAGCGCCTCTTTGGATTATTATTTTTGGTTTGTGCTCCCATTCCCAATCAAGTTCAGGGGAAAAACGTTACAAGACGCCCAGGTCAGGAGGCACTCTTGCAACATATGATAAAAACACTTAGTTTCACCAGATCACTGTCGTGTTGCAGCCTGCTCGCTTGGCCTTGACGGAGACAGAACCAGAAAGAGGGTTCACCCTTAGTGGATCCCGGCGTCACGAGCTGGTTGCTTGGAAGGTAAGGATACTACTGGAATTGGCGTATGTTTTCTTCACATCCAGCATGCAGGTTTTTACGCTTTGTGAGTTAATCCCCGGCTTACCAAAGTGTTTCCTGACCATTTATATTCATAGCCGCAGGAGAGGAAGGGCAACACGTCCGCTTGCCGAGAAAGTGAGTTCGAAGATCATTATTACTCGGCGAATTCAGCCCATCGCTCCATCTAGTCTTGGCTTTGGAGACGTGGAGGACTCTGGGGGTAGCTTGGCTACCGATCGTTTTTTCAACTTCGCGCCTGTATGTTCCACTCCTTTTTCATTGGCCCATCCATAAAAGCGGATAACACGGCGATCTACCATAGTTGCGGACCCTTGTTACAAGGACTAAGGAGGGATCTTGGAAATCTGCGCGATTCATAATTCCTGGCCTGACGGCTATGGTAGTTGGGAAGAACGCTGCTCTCCAGCCTGTCGATTTTGCTTTAGGTGTGTTCGGCTTTGGGTTCCCGACTCAAATGTCTCACATACCATTTATTAGGCACATACCACGCCAGGAGGGGTAAGACGGAGGGTATTTTCCACCCTTTTGGGGTCGTACGCCGGGTCCTGTGCGTCAGAATGCGTGTCATGAACGTTTACTAATCTTGCGTCTAGAAATTCGCAATTTTGCGTTGTCCCCCAATGTGAAGAATTGGTCGTAAACGCATATATCACGCAGAGCATAGATCGTGCGCTCTCATCCTACATGTCTTCAGGTCTTAATTTCTGAATGATTGACTGTGCAGAACGCCAACTCCTCACAGACATCGACACTAACGTAGGTCGCCTTTCTATCATAATCCTTCTTGAAACATGCTCACGGCTGCTTCTTTGTATCCTGGATCCCAGGAAGATCCGAACGCAGCTCCTCTACCAGCCATCGAGGACGATGATAATGTAAGCCGATACTAGCTCTGTTTCCACGCCAACTTCTTTGTGCACATAGGAGGACTGGATGCCGCTTCTCGAAAGTAATTCTTCTTACACAACCGTATGTGGTTTTTCTACCACAATTCTTCTTGAAGACATTCCCAAGGGTGCTTCCTAGCGATTCATTCCGGGTTCCCAGCAAGATACCAATGCGGCTCCTCGGCCAATCATTGAGGACGATGATAACGTGAGCCAATACGAACTTCATTTCCAAACCAACCTGAGTGCTGACGTACGCAGGACGATCTGAGTCCCAAGATTCTTTCAAGAGGCCTTCTCGGCGCAAACGGCGTTGGCCAGCCCGTTTCCAGCCTCAAGCAGGTAAGTGACCGTCGGTGATGTGGGAGAGTCACCTAACTTAGCTCTAACAGAGAACTAGATGGGATCTCGTAGACGACGACCAAGGCGGGAGGCTCAAAATGGTCACCGACACTAGGGGGCACAGGAAACAGTGGAATGATAGATGGAATTACATCTAGGGATATATATGTAGACTAAGAGTGGTGACAGGTGAATTTGAGTTACGACCGTGGCGCACCATTATTTAAGACTCCTCGGTGTCTTCTGAGAACTCAGGGTTCCACAAACTTGAATAATGTATGGGCTGATCAGCGTCTCGGTTCAGAGAGGCGGATTCACTGTAGTCTATCGTGAACAGACGTTCGTACCTTAGATTCTTTGGGAGGCTACCTAGGGTCATGTCGGCACAGCGTTTATGCCGGCCGTCTGTAAGGTTCCGGTACTCGGGCCGCCGCAGTCGTCCTCTCGCAGCCGTTTACTTACGCCGTAGTCTTGATCCGTAGTCCGTTGTGATTCCGTAGTTATACTGACTCATTCCGTAGTTACTTGTAGGATATTTAAGCACCCTTAGAAATAGCCTACAGTAGGATACTTCCCCTTGAACAAAGAGCACTTACCTCCGTTCTCTTTGTCTCCCCCTCTGAGCTCCTGACTTATTGTGTGCTTCACTCCTAAAGGACTCGAAGCTTCACACCGCCTTCTGGGACAAACAGACGTCGTTGAGCCAGTCTTGTTCGAGGGCCATGTCAGGCGTAAAATTTGCCATTGGTTGTGTCGTAACGCTCTACGATGGAGTTCTGGTGAATGTTTCTAAATCCTCACGACAGCATCCCACAGCTTGTTATTTAAATAGTTTTGATCAACCTAAATGTCCTGTACCTCCATACACCTCGGTGCAATGAAATGACGATCTTCCGCACCAATTGGAATGAAGGCAGGCCTTTCTTGAGTTCTTTTGAGTTTCTCTTTCCTTTTCCGATTTCTTTGCCGCGTTTTCCCGGCACGGGACCCAGTACATTGAAATAAAAACTCAAATGCTTGGTTGGGCCATCTTTTGTACATCCTCCTGATCGGTCGGTAGGGCCGGTAAACCAGGGTCGGGTGACCAACGGGTTCTGCGGATCAAGCCTTGATGCGCTCATCATGTTGTTAGCATCACAGCTCTTGCAAGTGATGGTCTTACTGACGTGTCAAGCCCTTCGACGTAAGTTACATTGAAGCGTCTGTCTAGGAGAGATTAAAGGCCATTTGTCCTTTGAGACTACTGCACCGGTCATCATCATGCAACTCAAGACTTTGGCCGCCCTATTGGCGACCATTCTGACCGCGCAAGCCGCAACACTACCCGAGACACCGACCAACATCTACAACGTAGTATATGCAGTGCCTGGAGGCCAAAACATAGTCCAATTCGCAGGTACCATGCGTGTTCCCCATCTCCCACACGAAGGGGTCTACTACCTCTGGCCCGGTCTTTTCCTACCCGACTACGGCGGCGTACTCCAGCCGGTGCTTTCCGGCGCCACCGGGCAATGGTCCATCAACAATACGTGGTACTACGCCATTACAGAAGACCCCGCTGGTCAGCAGAATGTGCAGTACGTTGCGTTCGGTGTCGACGAGGGTGACGATGTGCGGTTCAATATGCAGAAGAATGACACCTGGAGCATCACTTTGAGTGTCCCTGGGACCACTAAGGAGGCAACAAACTCCTTTCCAATGATAGGTGCGTTGCTCCAGAGTTTAATATTTTCTATTCAGTTATTAATGTACAAGCCTGCACAGACCCTGCGAAAGCAGACCACATCCCGTACGCGGTCTTTGAAATTGAGCTATGGGGCCAGGTCTGGGATTTCGGTCCCCTCACTTTCACCGACATTACAATAGTAAGTCCCGATGTGCCCCAGGTTTACGATAAGGACGTGGCTTACATGAAGCACAGGTCTCCAATGGCACATACAGCTCCTGGTGCAGCGACAGGCCATATGCCACTCAGACCTCTTTCCAGGCGAGCGGCGTCACTTCGACTGTGCTCAACGGGCAGGTTACGTGCAGCATCCAGTCCATGGTTTTGCAGCAGCCGGGTGCAAATGCTACCGCATCCCCCGCAACCTCCGCAGCCCCCGCAGCCCCCAGCACAGGCCGAAGGAGTGCGCCACTTATATACTTTTCTTGTACCATGTTATCCCTCACTATACTGCTATTACGCTAAGCAAATCCATGTACTCTGAAGCGGAAATAAATTATTTCTTTTTGGGCGTGCCTGGCTCCAGCGGCTGTGAATTTTTCCCCCTTGTATGACCCTCTTGTTCCTGAGCCTCCAGATCAGGTGCGCGGGCTCCGAGATTATTATCCTGAAGAGATCCATTGAGTCCGCGTCGCCCCGCGTGATCGCGGCACATCCCAGGATCTGACCGAGGGTTGGCGGAAGTGAGTCGGCCCCGGTCTGCTGCTTCCAAGCTTTGTCCAAATCTCGCACTTCCTGCAGGTTGCCTTATCTTCGTGGCCGGGGATGTTTTCCCAATGTGCGCCCACTTTGTATCCCCCGTCCAGCATCATCCACGGGAAGAATCTGGCGCTGCGTGACAGATACCAGTCGGACCTTGTGTGCCGTCGATTTCCAGATCTTCCCTCTCGAAGGGAGATCGTCCGAGGGATTGGCTACCGCCTCCTGCGCGAGGGTCCTGTATGTCTTAATGGCCCATCGGTCCAGGAGGGCCTTATCGGTTAGTAAAATCTTGTGTGCCTTCATTACACCATCCTGCCTTTTCTTGTACTCTTTTGCACCTGGTTGAGTGCTGCAAATTTAGAGAGGCAAAAAAACCTGGCAAAGACAGAGCAGCACCTTGACTCGAACAAGGACCTCGGGAACTCATATTTTGTTTCGGCCCATCACATAGGAAGCCCGTGTGCATGATTACACCATACTGCTTTGTGCACTCTTCCGCACGTGGCTGACTTCCCTCTATATCTCAGAGTATTCTCTTTTACAAAAAAAGTGCGAAATATTCAGCAGCAGAGCAGTACCTTGATTCGAACAAGGTGCTCGGGAATCCATGTTTGCGCTTTTTTCATCCCTGAATAGAGAACCTGTGTGCAATCCGTACACCACACTGCTTGTTTACCTCGTTCTGGAAACGTTAACCTGGCTGACTTGTCTTCTCTCGGAATCTGAAGAAGTTCGGGTGCCAAAAATAAAACAAGAAATGAAAAAATGCGTTGGAGAGACCAAAGCAGCAAACCTTGATTCGAACAAGGATCTCCTTAATTCGTCATCTTATAGAGAGCCCGTGTAAAACATTACACCATACTGCGTTCCTCGCCTTGTTCTGAACCTGGCTGGCTTCCCTCCTTAGAGTAATCTCTCTTTTTTTTAAAAAAAAGGACCGAAGATTCCAAAACAGAGCAGTACCTTGGCTCGAACAAGGACCTCAGGGTTATCTGTCTCTATCCACCAAAAGGGAAAACCTGCGTGCATCCTTACACCATACTGCTTTCTTTACCTTGTTCCTGGACCATACCTAGATAAGTCGTCCAGATTCAGCATTTGGAGGGACTCATTAAAAAGAATTCCCGAACCGTAGAGCAGTACCTTGATTCGAACAAGGACCTCGGGATTGCAGGGATTCGCAATTCGAATGATAGACCCGTGTGCTGCTTTACACCATACTGCCTTTTTGAGCTTGGCTTTGCAACCGACCGAGTGCACGCAAATTGGATCCGCAAAAGAGTGCCGCGGCGGTGCGAAACCTTGTTGGTCGGGCAATATGGAAGCTATGACGCAATTTCTAAGCTTTTCTGCGTGTCCAATCCTTCTCGACGAGTGACCTGCACGTCGCCGAATAAGTAAACGAGAGGGTGGAGAGGAAAGAACAAAAATGCCGTCTTCGAAATGACAGTTGCATCAGGAAAAAACAAATCCTCTGTAGCCAAGGGGGAATTTCTGTAGTCATCTGTAGCCTCTGTAGCCAGTTGAGCAGGTATGTAGCCAAATGTAGTCATCTGTAGCCAGTGGGTAGCCTATGTTGTATCATGTAGCCAGTGCAAATGCAACATAGTCTCTGTATACTCTGTAGCCTATATAGAGAAATGTAGCCTACCCTGCAGATACATAGTTCACTGGCCTCAGAAATTGGAAATTCAAGTTCAGTACAAAAATGGGAGTGAAATTTTTTCAAGTTCACAGTGCTTTTGACTTTGAACACAATTTTTGTGAATGAGAGAATCATGCAAAATGCTAGCAGAAATTGAACCCAACTATTCAATATGGACAGTGCACTCAAGAGTGGGAGAGGATTTTATAATTTGGTCCCATTCACCAATAAATGTCTTCCCCGACAAAGTTAAAGAGCTGTAAGACAAACCAGGAGTGAATTGCGGAAGGGTTGAGTAACACATGTGGCCGTGCAATTGTGCTTCCTTCTAACTGGTATCATAGTGTAGTGGTATTTTGTGCTTCCTGAAATTTTATCTGTTCGCGGGAGGTCCTCAGTTCAATTCCCAGAGCTCGTAGTAATTTAAATGTATAAAATAAAATAAAACACAATAAGACGGGATTGGAGCTAATTCATGAATAAGTAGCACGGTAACTGAAGAAAAAAAGTATTAAAGCTTACAATTTCTGTTGCACCACCACTCTTGTTGTAGCCTCCCACTAGACTATAGAGGCCTACAGTGCCACCTCCTTTGACTACATACGGCTACATGAGGCTACAGAGCCTCCCGGTTGGCTACAGGTGCTACATAAAGGGGTACCTAGCAACGGGACTACAAGTGATACATAGACTATGTAGCTCTATGTCGTGGGTTCACTTTTTCCTGATGTGGATGACATCAGCCATCATCCTGTCGCCTCTTGCTTCTTGCTCTTTTCTTGTGTCTCGTCGCTGCCCGCGACGACGCTGACACCCTGAAGTACACCGCCGCCAACGTCCTCGACGGTGAACAAGATCAGTCGGGCTTCTGTTCCCCTAGCGACCCCGGCGTTATCTTATAGCCCACGTCCACTCACCTCTGTCCGCCATGGCCTCCTCGAACTCGCGTTCCACCACGCGGCGGACTTCTTCTTCCTCGCCGCTGCCTCCTTCGAGCTCAGCAAACAGCACTTCTGCCTCAGCGATTCACACCGTTTAGCACGACGAGCACATTGAGCGGCGTGACCGTCTACTCCACGCTTTCGGGCACGGAGAGTGGTCCAATTTCAGGTAAACAAGCTACTTTCTATCGCGCATATGCATTGGCTCGCATTTCTACTGCACGAGAATTGGTTCTGGTGCTGCGAAGGCCACTATGCTGCAAGATGTAATTCTAGCGGCATGGCGCACTGGTGCAAGATCAGCCGGATGTATTCTGTCTTGCTGATGTACTGCTCATCAAATTCATCTGTCTTCTGCGTTCATGTCGTTTTCCTCAAATTCTTGACTGTGCGGCCGTTCAGAATGCCCTTCAGCGCCTCGCGATTTGTGCCTCTTTGTCTTCGCTCTGGTACACTGCATTACCTCTGAGTTCCTGCCTGTAACATGCGGCAAATTGCTACAGCGGCCCAGATCTCGATCGAGTTATTGAGTTCCAGTGCACATTTGACGCTTGACATCCTTCAGTGTCTCCTCAATACCAATCCTCGCTCGATGGAGAGACAGCTCGCCGGGCATCCTCGAATGGCGGGTAGAAATCCGTGCTCATCCGTCTAAAGAGTCCCACAAAAGCCTCAATGTCTACGTCGAGCAAATAGCACGTAACCTCGGAGGCTTGGACGATTCAATTCTGGTGGTTAAAAACGCTGCTGTTTTCCAAATACAACTTGTTATTCCAAATATCCCGGTGGCGCTTCATCCGACAAGCCCAAAGCCCACTGAGACTCCAACTGGCTTTCCAACGTACGAATCCGCATCTGCAGTATCTCGTTCCGATGTTTCGCCTCCTTCAGCGTCCCTTCTTCATCACTGTCTTCGTCACTGTGCGGTCCTGCGCCGTTGTTGGGTGGCGTAGAAATATGGGCACTGCTGGGAAGGGCAGGCAGTATCTTCTGCACAGCGAGGATCTTGTCCCGCAAATACTGCTGGCGGATTCCTGCGGTTCGTAAACTCGCTGCCGATCCAGATTCTACAACCCTCAGCTCCTGCGCCTGCTGTCTCTCAGAGAACTCTTGGTGTGTCATCCACTCCCTTTTTTCTGCAACTCGATCTTCGCCTCGCGCGCTTTCCGGATCGACCGAGGCCTCCACACGCGTTCGAGTTCGTGCGCGTCTGCGACGGGTATAGAGACCAGCAAACAGCACCAAAACGAGCAAGACCACAACTCCCACTGCAATTCCAGCAATCATAGCGCCGGAAATCGAGGATTTCCTTCGGCAATTTGGCGGTTAGATGGTGTCCTCTGAAACGCTACTAGCTGCTCACCTGGTGGCTCCAAACGATTCAGCACTCTGCCCTCCATTACTTGTACTTCCGGCAGGAGTCGTAGAAGCTAGACTCGAACTTGCAGAAGAGGACCGATTGTGGGTGAGCGATTGAATTTAGCTGTTGTGCGTACTTACGTGACAATATCACTTGAAGCTGACGATGATCCTCCGCCTTCTGCATTTAGACCCGTCGATGTTGGAACTGCAACCGTAGATGTGGAAGTAGTAGTTGAAGATGAGGAGGCAGTATTTAAAAACGTAGGTGTGGGAAGCGGAGTGAACTGCACTGTTGGCTTTGAATCCGTCGTTGTCGCAGGGACATTCTGGGAGCTGCGGACATCGCATTCGGGGAACCCTCTCTCAAGCGAACGTCACGCACGTTTGGGATGGATTCGGTGGTGGTGTAGATATAGGCACATCGACATTGATCGTCGTATGACTGGTGAACGCATTCAGTTGGATTACATGGTGAGTACCCATTCAGTAACCACTGAATAACACTTACCCGTTTGCGTCAATGAGATCTTTAGGACACGCGTGGTCGCTATCGACGCCAACTCCACTCTGCCATATTCAAGTAAATCACCTCCCGGTGAAGACAGGAGATTGCTCACGAGATAATGGCAATCTAATCCCCCAGCATAGTGGCACGTCACGGTCAGAACTCCGTCGGGGTTCTGCGTATCCTGGCTCTGCAGGTTCGAGCCTACCTCGTCGGTCGGTGGACAGGCTACGTGTTTAGGATCCTGAGCTACTCCCACTGGGACGAGCACGGCGCCAACCAGGACGATGCATGTATATAACCCCTGGAGCATGCTCGCAGGGACGGCTAGAGAGCCGGAGGGAGAAGATGGGGGTGGAGACAAAGGATTGGTTATGTATCGCTGATCTAGTGGCGTGGGTCGGGCTGGCTTAGCCACGAGAAAGTTGCTGTTCTGATTCTGGTGTGTAGAAAAAAGTATGACAGCTCTCGCTGATCCATTCAGATAATTTCCATCCACGTTGTGTTATTCCTCTGCGTTACCGTCGGCCAAGAGAAGCCTCGGCGAGAAATCAAGTCGGTTCAACATGTGAGTGCACGATCCGTATGTCAGGAGGAATACTCCTTCGCGCTCAAGAAAAGAATGTGATCATTTTCAGTACCTGCGTGTGCCCAACATATCTCGTTCAAATGGGTCTGCCGGCGAGCATGGCCATACACAAATCTACTTCCACCTATGCAACGACGTGATGGTCGCTCTCGATTGGCGGATGTGCATCTGATCCTGATCCCTCACCTTTTGCGTTTGACTACCATCTCGACCATCCGCTTCAGTTTCCGCTTGAACTTCTACTTAGCCCACAGCAAAGACACGAATTGGATACTAATGGCTCAAGCAGGGCAAGACACTGCCAAGAGGATAACGCACTCGAATCTCTTCCGCTTCTGCGCTTCTAGATCTATCACGTCCCACGTCCCACGTCCCGAACCCTCCCTCTCACGTGTGTGCAACTAACCCTACTTTTCAATGGCATGATCTTCGGCGTTGTCGCGTCCACTGCCCATCAACACAGAAACAACCATGAGCAAATCAATGGTTTCCATGCCCAGAGAAGCGGAGGATCAGGGATGTGCAGATGGATTTCACGGTCCTTGGATAACATATTGACGGTGCCTGCGATCGTGGGCAGGTATCAGACCGAGTGTGCAACGTGATGTATGGTTGCGTACATGACTGTAGTAACGCGCTAGCGTTGGCGTTGGCTTCTGCACCTTGTTTAGCCATGCTTCCGACTCGGAGGGTGTAGGCTTTAACGTCCAAATCACCTCCCGTGCTGCTCAGGTCCTCACACGCCTGATCTGTCCGCTTCTCATATCCACCGCCTCTCATGTTATCTGCGTCCGGGCTCCATCCACCATCACTCCTGAGCCACTCTCCGAGCCCGCAGTCGTCTCAATAAAGCACGTCTGCTCGCTCCCCCTATGCCTGCATGCACCCCCCAGTTCCTCCCCATGTGTCTATTCTACGTTCCGCGCCGCACCTGCACCCGCCCTAATCGTCCTCATCTAATTCGGATGTCTCCCAAACACTGTTCTTCCGGTGTGCAGATTCAATGCCTCCTCTTTCTCCCGCTGGTATAATCTCCTGTCTCAGCACCTTTCATTTCTATTTATTATCTGATTTCTTCCACGTGGATGTCTTCTTGGCATGCACCAGGGTTGGCGTTTTCGGGCATGTTTGTTTGACTTACGTTCATACTATGAAAACCTTGTGTCCATCTAATATTTTGTCG